GTGCTGGGGAAAGGCTGGAGTGTAGGGCACGGTAGCCCCTTCTTGCGGGGTCCCTAGGGGAATTACTAGCCTGTGTAGCGCCTACGAGCACGGACCGAGTATCCCCAAGCATAGCGTGTGTCATGCGTCAGATCCACGGGACTTTATACCTACCCGGGGGCTTGCCGGGCTCCTCTGCTTTGCCTGCCCCATACCCAGCCTTCGCGGGTCTCGGAGAGGACGAGGAGGGGTGATCACGAGCGGTACCCGCGGGTGCTCACGCGCCTGTGGCTGGGACTCGGAGGGATGAACCATTCGACGGAGCCCGGCGCGATCCTGCTGCCGCTCTCGGGGCACAGCGCGGTCAGCAGCTCCCCACGACCCGTGTACGGCGGCTGGAGCAGATTAGCAGGACGAACCCAGTCTCCCCACTCTCTCTTGCTACCCCTGGGGTGACTGCGCCTTCCACGCATTGCTCAGCCCAGAAGCCTTTCGCAGAGGTGACTGCACAAATCTTTGCGTTTCTCATCGGCTGGGCTAGATTCAGTGCTTCATTTCAGAGCTCCGTCAGCGCCACAGATAAAGGCTCGGGCTACCCAACTTAGCGCTCTCCTAGCTCCAGCCTTAGGTTGAGAAATGGTGCCCTCTAGAGAGAAGCTGCTGGGAACGCAGTGCAGCGTTGTAGGTATTTTACCAGCACCACGAGTTGCCTGGGTCTGCGGTGCTGAACACACCACAAGGCTAGGACTTCAGTTTCCAGGGTGAGGTCAGGAAGGAAGTTGCTAGAGAGGCCCTTGTTTAGTAGGAGAAACCCGTGTAATGGGAGTGCTGAGAGCTGCTTCTTATGGCTAATGTTAGTGAAAAGCATCAGCACATGAGTGTGCCAGGGGCTGAGGTAAGGCTGCCTGTGCATCCTTAGCTTTGCCATGTCCTGACATCTGAGAGAGAAGGAGTAACCGTGGCCTAACAAGGGGCCGTCCTTAACTGACCCGTCCTTGCACGCACACCTAGGCCATCCACAAAGCACGGCGTGGTCGTGCACACCAATATTCCAGCTCCTTGGCACAATGCTTCGATTCCATGCTCGGACTGCAATTTGTTCTGCAGAACAGAGAAATCAGTAGCTGCGAATGTCTATCTGTTAATCACATGAGAGGTCTGTGCCAAATACAGAACGCTGTGGGTCATGGTAGCACTTCCAATGTTTTAAGTTCCAATGTGAGCACGATGATTTAAAATGACCTTTTTGTGACCTTTATTCTGACCACATACAGAATAATCTGTACGTGGTGCTCCAAGAGCCATTGATGTGATGTGTGTTCCCGTCAGTGCCCTACCAGGCCAAGAGGGCATTTCCTAGGGCCCAGCTGAGCAGGGGCAGTTCAGAAGCACTTCCCAAAGCAGCACGCAGCACAGCTGAGAGTGGGAACCCTTTCCTGCTTTTCATTTTTCCCCGCTAGTGATGTTGCAAGTAGGTAAAACCACAGCTCTGCTGCGTGGTAGTGAACTGCAGCAGGACCGTGGCTGTTGAAATGCCCAGGTTTGGATGTGTGGTTTCCAACCACTGTCTTTGCTAGGATGTCTTCCAGTCTAAAAATAGTAGTACTGTGCACAGTTGCTGCTTCTGTCATGGAAACCAAAGCCATATGAAGCACAGGTGGCCCTGCTTTGTGACTTTCCTAGCAAAATAGATCCCTTGCATGTATTTGCAAGAGAAGCAATGAGCTAAATGCACTTACCTGAAGAAGAATTCTGATCAGACTCAAACTTCTCCATCTTTTCCCAGCTTTCTGTGCATCTGAGAATATACATGCAGTTCTTTAACCAAAATAAGACCAAACACCATCAGGAAGATTTCCTGTATTCTTAGTCCAGGTGCTAGGAATATTTTCTATCTCTGAGCAAAGTGATGAAGTTAACTGGAGTTTTGATGGGCTGAACTAGAGGAAAGCACAAACCTGTCACTTCATTGTAAAATAGCTCCTTGTTGTTGTTGGCTTCTGTGGTTTGTAGTGCCAGCTGGAGAGCTTAAGATACATGGGCTCCATTCTGCAAGGAGCTGAATTCCCTTGCAGCTGCTGAAGCTGCTGTGCTGAAACCCAGGGTAGGGGGAGATCTTCATTTTGCAGAGTAGCACATTCAGCTAAAACTAGCCTACTTAGATCTCATAGGTAATGTATTTTTGTGGCTTCACTGGCTGAACCCGACCCAATACTTGCAATAGGAGAAATGTAGTACTGAGTCACTTCTTTTGAAGTGATTACATTGGTTTCTTTGGAAGGGAGATGAATCTTTTGGTACCAGGGAAAGACTTGCCTTCTGACTGAAGGGTTGGGAAAGCTTGCCCTGTGAGTACATTACTTTGGAACCAGGGCAGTGCTTACTCACTACCTTACTACTTACTTACTACTACTCACTGGGCTTGTATCCTCTCAGAGCTCTTGCTATTGAGTTAGAGCTTAATACTAGACAGCAGATGACCCTCCTGCCTGACCATAGCATTGCTGAGAACCCCCTGACTTCCCTCGTCATGTCTGCATCCTGCTCTCACTATGAGTAAAACTAACTCTGAGGGACGTCGTGTCCTCCTTTCGGGATGCTGAAAAATCTGGAGTGCAGTGGTGTCCGTGTGGCCCAGGCAAGAGCAGAACCGTGCTGTGCTAAGTCCTGTTTACCAAACACATGGGACACGTGGCGTGTTCCCCCCAGGACTCGCGTATATATAGACAAAGTCAAAGGGGATGAGGCAGTATTATCTTGAGCTTACAGCTGGAGGACTCCAATCCAGAGGGATTATAGTAGCTTGCCCAAGGTCATGCAGGAAAGCTGTGGCAGAGCAGGGATATGAAACAGGGTCTTCTCAGTCCCAGGCAGACTGGAAGCAAGATAATGCCTGAAATGGAGTGGTTCAAGTCACGTGCACACTGAGGGTTTCAGAAAGGCCTGAGCCCTCCTCCCTCAGGGTGCGGGAATCGCATCGCTTGCATGTCAGCTACATGCAGGCTGTGACGAGGACCCCAATGTTCATGAGGATCCTCGTGTCCTTCCCAAACGGCTGCTTTTGAAGCTGGAACGTGGTGTTTTCCATGGCTCCTCATCACTGCTACGTGCTGGACGGGCTGCTTCCTGGCTGCATTGTCCTGACAGCGCTGCCGCAGGCACGTCCTCGTGTGCTGCTGCCCTCTCGTGCCAGCCGTGCTGCAACTGCAGAGATGGGGCCCCGCTCCCCGGTGCTCAGCATCTGCTGTGATCCTTCACGGACAGTGCTGCCCTTCGCCTTGCTCAGCGCCGTCACTCACCCTGATTCTGCTTGCATGGATTCAAGCTACGTGGCAACGGAGAATCCAGGTCATGCTCTGGGTAACCGTAATGCACGTTTGCTAGGTTGAGGTAACAGTTAAGACAACACGATAGCAACAAAGGTCCGTCCCCGTTCTCAGGTTTCTCATGAGCTTTCCAGAAGGGCCTTGTCGATCAGAGTTCCCCTCAGGTTGATTCTGGCTGTTAAAGTCCAATCATCTTTCTTGGCAAGCAGTATTTAATGAAAAGCGGTCTGGTACACTTGATAAGAGCAGAGATGCCATTTAAGAAAAGCTTCATAGGCAACAGCAAAAAAAAAATCCAAAACTTCCTCACTTAAAGTCTAGCCTTTTATTTTAGCAACAGCAACTGCTGGTGCCCTTTCCTTTCTAAAATTCCTAGGCTGCTAATTACCAGCACTCCTTAGTGTTCCCCTGAAAAGGACTTTTTTAAGAGGACCTTTCATAAGGCCAGCTGGAACTCTTTTGAAGACTTTTCTTGAAACTTTTGCTTGTTAAAAAAAATAAATGATAGAAAAGGTTTCCTTCCCTCTAACTTGCTCCAGAATGGAATATGAGTTTCTTTTCATATTGCACTTCTCGCTAAATCTCACTATTATTTGTCATCCTCTTTCAGCAGAGGGTTAAAGCAAGACAAAGTGTGCAAAGTTGAAGCAACAAGAACAAAACGCCATATGCAAAACAAGAGATGCATAAAGTGAAATCTATACTTTGGACAATAGCCTCATTCTGTACTTTGCAGGAACACGTATGGAAGCATGTGACAAGACAAGACATAGGTAATTAAAAAGGTAATTAGATTATGAGACAGAGTTTTTGGCATAGCAAGTAACTGTTAGAGTCAAAATGCTGTTTAATTCATCAGTATGTTACTGCATAGGAATCTGTCCTGTTTATTCACTCTCTTTCCATAACTGTTCCTCTTTGATACAGCCGTGACTCGGAACACTAGCAACAGAAGTCAGCCAAGGTTATATCTGCAAATCCACATGGATCAAAGCAAATACTGGAGATTAACACCCAGCTGCCAGCTTTCACAGCTGAAGACCCATTCTGCTGTAGCTGCATCTCCTCCCGTTCAACTTGTGGATGACGGAACAAAACCAGTTGCTGCAATGACACTGTCTCACTCCATGAGAGACTGCAGGGATCTGTGTAGACCTCCTATGGCCAGGGACTCTGGAAAAGCCTCCTTAGGAGGTAAGACAGACAAGAAAGCAAGACTTTGCCTTAGCCAAGAGGCACTGCAGAGCAAACCCGTGTGTGGGAGCTGATCATACAAGCAGAGAGAGTGCTTGGAGTTCATCATGTCTGTATCGAGTTCCTCATTGCCCCAGCAGAGGCCAAGGAGGCTCCTTCCAAGACACTCACCAGACAGTGCCCTTGCGTTTATCAAAGCAGCTTCTGCTGCCCTAAGAGCACATGGAGCAGGGAACCCACTGCCAAGCAGGGAGAAAGTATAGAGCATTCCCAACTGGAAAACAGAACAAAACTCACCAGCTAAGATTGCTTTCAGGCGATATATCTGGAAAAACTTAATGATGGAGCAGTGGCTGTCTTAAAATATCCACTCATTAACACTAGCTACACTACCAAAGATGGCAAATTTATAAAACTTTCAGGAAAAGCGGTAATGGGGACTGTTGCTCATTGCTCCTTACTTCAGCCACCGGACAATTTAAGCTGAAGCAATCATTAAAAATGGGAATTACAAAAAATACCACCTAGCTGTCAAAGGTGACAGGCAGAAGAAATCAGTGTGGCTTCTAACCTAGATGGGCCACTGATCTAGTTTTGCAACTCATTAGCGCTCTAGTTGCACCGAGCTGGTTAGCGCAGCAGCAGTGTCACCCACGCACACCCCAGTGTTCTTTGAGGGCACAGAAAATGATAGGAGCCGTTAGCCGTGCCGCCTTCGGTTCCACAGCCCCTTGACTTGCACAAAAGCAGGAAGGAGCATCTTTTGGGGAAGAGGCTCTACCACTCCCATGGGGTCCTGCTCCAACAGCTCCCCTTGTAAGGCTTTCAGGGAGGCTCCTACGATTCCTGGTTTCATTATCATCTCCTGTTGTTGGCCAGTTCCTCACCACAACAGATTGGATTAGTCCCCAGCTGGCTTCAGGAGAAATCTTTTGT